ATGAATAGAGTTTAAGCTAACTTTGAATTTCCTGTCTTCCTGTTTAATCCAGACCTTTATCATTGCTAGCAGGCTAGGAAAAATACTATTGTCTCAATCTGGGATAACCAAAAGTCCGGTTTGGACACATTCAATTTAATGACTTTAAAGCAGCATTTTTCAAATGAATTTTTGTTTTCTTCTGTCCTTTGTGTTTGTTTTTTTTTTTCCCTGCTCCCAACACAATCAGAATGTTGTCATTTTCCAAATGAAATGCCTTTTTCCTTCTCTCCTGCATCCTCTTTTAAGCCCCTCTTGCTTTCCTCTCCCCGAGAAATACGTTGCATTGCTACAAACATCACAGATGCATTGTCAAAACTCCATGCTTGGCATTTTAGTGATAGAAATCAATCTGAAATACCAGTTCTGGATTACCTTGCACTGTTGAGCAATGTCAGGCAGACTGATTAGTGTGGAGAAGTCTACACTGAGAGTACAACTAATACTTCTTTGTTACCTGTGAGACTTCTGCCTCCTTGACTTTAGTTATCCTCAGGTGCATGGGCAGTCAGAACAACTGATTTAAAGACATGGAGGTCAAGGCAGCGTTGTGTAAGGTCTCTGCTGGCTTGTTGTATTGGGTGTCTTGGATGTTGCGGTGTCTTCTAGCACAGTCAGCTGGAGACATCTCAGTCCTTGGATTCAAAAGGGCAGGGGTCAGACAAACCTTCCTCTCTTCTTAGTCAGGTTCACCAGAAAATGTCTTTTGGAAGGGATGGAGATCTTAGTAGAATGAGAGAAGTTCCTTTTGACATGAAAGGTAGCAGAAAGGAGTCAGTGGTATTTGGGAAGCTCTCAATGAGCAAAAGGAACGAGGTGTCCACAAAAAGTGGGTTGTCTTTTTTTGGATATAGCTGTCCTGCAGTCAGCAAGGCATTGCCCCTCACTGGAGGTGGAGAGAATCCACCTGAGGAGATGCAACTGGAAGCTCCTGCCTGTTGCTCCTGACGGCTGTTGGACCGTCTTGTGGTGCTGGAAAAGCCCGAGAGGCCACGATGCTCCTCTAAGCAGAGGGACCATGGATGAGTAACACAGGAAGAGGTGTGGTCCTCTCTTTGGGCAGGACAAAGGGAACTGGTCATTTTGGTAGCTCCAGCAGGAACTTCCTAATGGAACAGAAACGCTCACTCTTGTAGTGCCGTGTGTTATCTCTGGGGGGGGTGGATGGGTTCAGGTAGGATATCCCAGACCTCCTGAACAAACCCCAAATCTCAAAAACTTCAGTAGTCTTGTAAAAAAGATGGGTTTTATGACTGTTGGTGCTCCTTCCAGTGCTACAGAACTTTCACCTTTCTTACTTCACCTGACGTGAGAAGAGATGGTAAGAAAATGCTGCAAGTGGGAGGAGTGGGGCCGTCGCAGCTGGAGCAGGGCATTGCAGGCACCACTGAAAAGTTTAACCCTGAATAATAGCTGCATAGAATTAATAAGGTTGGGTGAGATTAATAAGGTTTGGGCAAAATTTCCCTGAGAGTGGTCATCTGTAGTATTCTCACTACTTGTTTTTGCCTTTTTTTGGTGTCCACTTCTGTGAATTTGGTAACATGCTTTGTGTGTAGAGCTGCTCAGCCGCACTGAAGTGATTCTGTATAATTTGTATTCATTGTTAATTTTAGTAACTGCACTGAGATTTGAATTACGCTAATCAACTTTTCTTGTAATTTGTATAATTTACATACTGTACACACACTGCAAATGCAGGACTCTGATGCAAAACAAAGTTTAATTAGTGTAACACGGCTACATCAGATTTCTGAGCATGGAAGAGATCTGTAGCAACAGATTAGAGCACTAAAATGTCCGGTGTTAGCGTAGGCTCCCGATGGGCTTGAGACGAGTATAACCAGGACAATTATTTGTAACCAGCACCGTAAATCCATCAGTTGACCCACCTTCCCCAAATATTTGACTTGTGCATAAGGAGGCACTAAAAAGTTTAAGGCTGTCTTGGTTTCTCTGGTTGCTTATGTAGCTTTCCATTGGTAGGAGAAGGGGTTGGAGGACGCTTCTCCTTGAGTGCGGCGTTTGTGCTCTGCTTATAAGGTCCTCCTGCCCAGTCTCCACCAGCGTATCCCACCTTACAGATGCTTCCCTTGCTCCATGGAACTGAGTTCCCCTCCTGAAGGACTCGTGGCTGTCGATGTTCAAGATCTGGCTGTGAACAGAGTACCGTTTTGGAGATAGAGTTTGAAATGTGATAGTTTTTAAAACACTGAGTTATTTGTGGTTCCTGCCTTTTAACCTAAAATCACTCGCTCGGTACTTGTGATTTTACTTTCTTAGTTTTAAAAGTCTGTTTCTTTCTTTGGTTGTCTTATGGAAAGACGTCTACAGTGAAATGAAGAGGAGACAGACTGGTTACATAAAGGCAATGAAACTGTTCATTTGGCAAAATTTTGACAGATCTAGAAAACAAAAAACTTGGGGCAAGAACAAAATAATTTTGCCTTTCTTGGTTGAATGTGCTTCAGTTCTTGCAATCTTGGATGGCGTCTGCAACAAATGAGAATCTATTGAGCTTTACCTTGAGTTCTGAATTTTTTTTTTAAAAAGGGTATTGACCCTTTAGAGCAAATAGGTTTTTCTCAAAAAAGAAGTCCTTAGCTGAATTAACAGATGCAAAAATCTCTGTCAGCTGATACCTGGCTACTAGACTCTCATTTCTGAAGTTAGTTTGTTGCTAACTGGTAAGTCTCATCTCTGTGCTTGCTCTAACCTTGTGCAGTAGTTGTCCAGCTGAGCTCCGTGAGATTATCTCCAGGTGTAAAGCCCAGCCTGCTCATAAATCTCTGCGGACCCGGGGCTTTATTTTCTATCTGCTCAGGCACCGTGGGTCTCTCCTCCTCGGGAACGCTCTCACCGTGTTGGTTATGACTTGGGAGCTCCACTCCGTCATCCTTTCAGGGCTGTTAATAGCAGGGATAGGTTTTAATGTCAATTTTTGTAGGCATTATGTTAATACCATTGTTATCTAATTAGCGTCCGTCCTACATTTGTATATGACATTGGATGGGCAAGCGTAAATGAAATGGACTCTGAACGTTTTATGAGGTGTTACTGTGAAACTACTTCACTCATCATTACTTAAAAGCCAGAGATTTGGCCTTAGGTATTACATCATGTGAAAACCAGTAGACAAAAATGGTGATCAATTTTTTATTATAATAAAGTTTTAATATGAGGCATTTTTAGATATGTGTCATGAATATATGAGTCATGTATTTCACACCAAACCAAACCTATTATGATTATATTTCTACTTCAAGGGGTTTTCGGTATTTAAATACTAAATTTAATTCTGTGGTTAAAAATGATTCATATTCAAATCTATTTTTATGCTTTATAATTAAATAAGAAAATATTGCTTGTACCTACACTTTTACTATTCTGGGTCGTATTATAATTATTTCTTTAATTTGACCCATAAAACCAGTCCATTTCTTCATTAGTAAATTACAAGGATATCGCAACAGAAAAATGAGTTTTGAAGGTGTCTTACCATATCTAATGGGAATTTCAGTTTGGGATTTTCTCATTTCTTTCATTTGTTCCTTTTGTAAAACATGAAGATACTTTCTAGGTAAATTAATCCCTTCAAAGGAGCAAAATAACTTCCTTTTCGGAAAGGGTTATTAGAGACTTATTCTTTATAATCTTAAATACCACTTGTGTTAGGCTGAACAATGCATGAAAAAATTACACTAGTTTAAAAAAAAAAAAAAAAAAAAAAAAGAAAAAAAAAAAAGATTACCAGCCAAAGCCAAGTATATTACAATTATGTGATCATGGAAAAGTGAGCTTTCTACTGGGAAAAACGTGATCTAGATTCCCATGAAATTTCTAAGTTTAAGTATTTTTGTAAATTAGGTTGTTCCTAGTTAAACAGGTGGCTTTAAAGGCTGGTTTCACTGTTGTTTTAATCATAGTTTAGTTACCATGGAGAAATATGCAAGTTAGCATTTATACACAGAAGTGAAATTTATGCTGCATAGATAATAGCCTAAATTTAGCATGACTTAAGTTTACCACTTCCTTAAGAAAAAAGATATACATGTTTTATTATTATACTATCACACTATCAAGAAGTTAATTTCTTTAAAATATTTTAAGATTTAAAAGTCAAATTTTTTTGTCCTCAAATGAACAGTGTTGCTGTTTTCTCATTTTTTGAGCTCTAGCTTGAATTTATTTTTTTTTTCCCCCCTCCCATTTTTTTGGTCGATTTCTCAATTTTTAGTTTTAGATTATCTCAGTGCCTGGTGTAGAGCTGGTTTTAATTGTGCAACTGGCGCGCTGCAATTCAGCGAGGGACGTTGCAGGAGGGAAATCTTTGTTGTACAATTTATTGAGGCATTTCAGCTGTTTGACCCAGAGTTTATCAGAATGGAGATTTCTGTTACTGAACTGAAACAATACCGGGAGAGGGAAGAAAGTGGCGAGAAATCATAACATTGTGTCTTAGAGAATAAAGCCTCTCCTGGCTTAGCTGAGCCTCACGAGCATGCGGAGATGCTGAGTGTCTTTGGCTGACCTGGAGAACTTTTTCCTCTCGCCCAGTCGCCCTTCCTAATTTAACATGTTTTTTTGGGGTTGTTTTTTTTTTGCCCTGTGTTTTTAAGTTCAACAGTCCTGTCTGTAGGACCTCGTGGCAGAGCTAAGTTTTCAAGGACAAATGTAGTAAGAGTAGCGTGATCCAACAGGAGGTCCCCCAGCACACCGAGTGCAGCAGATCCCTTTCAACACCAGCTGTTCTCACAGATATAGATTGCTGCAGTGAAATTTTCTTAATATAATTCAGGAAGCTCTAGAGAATTCTCCAAAACAACTGTGCCAACAAGGAAAATGTTGAATTTTTCATCAGCTGCCCAACGCTGAGAGTTAGTGGGCAATCCGTTCATTCATGACCAGATGTTCAGTGTAGTAATGCTCTGCAGTTAACTTGAACCTTGTGGCCTGTTTACCGTCGGTTGCAAGGACATTGGCAGGAGCCCGGCGCCGGAGGATTGCGGCCCGAGAAGGTGCGAGATCCGCCTGCGTGTCCGTGGCCGCCTGGTTTTCCATCAGCGACCAGACAAGGTAGGGAGCGATGGAGGAGGGAGATGACGCAGCATCAATCATCGCAGGGGCCTGGCGAGAAGCATCTTTATTTTGCAGCTCTGTTATCAGAGAAGAGCTGACAAATTTTTATCTTTCCTTCTTCGAAAGGGAAGATTAGCTTTTTATTTCCGTGCGCGGGGTGGGGTGGGGGGGTGGGGGGCTAATGCTTGATGTTGTGTGTTGTAACTTTTTTTTTTACCTTTTTTTGGTGGCAAAATTAAAGGAAGGCAGGTGACTGCAACTTTGTGCAGCTGTGTGTGTGTGCATTGAGGTGGGTAAGGTCACGGTGGGGGTAACTCCACGTCAGCCCCGTCTTGAGCTCAGCTGAAGCACGAGAGTTGACTCCTGAGTAGACTCGTCCGTTCGCTCAAGCTCATGGTTTCTTTCATAAAGATGCATTTATGCCTTATGCCATTTCAGTGTGTGTTAGGCACTAGTACACAGAAAAAAATAGTATTGAGTAGGAGTTCTGGAATAAACAGTGTGATTTTCTACTTTGAAAAGGATTCTTCCTTTAAATGATTAACTGTGTTTGATTCTGGGTATGCCAGCTGGCTAGAAGAGGGAAGGCAGGATTTGATAATGTTTAGTTTTTTCTTAGATGTTACAAGAATCTTAATTCCTTCCTTCATTGTATTTCAAAATAATATAACTATTGATTTCAAAGTGGAATCGTCGATGAAACTGCTATTATCTTACGCTGTCACAATAGCCGCACTTTCTCAGGTTTCTTTTATGAGCAAGGGGAAAAAATCCCTCTTCTGTAAATGCGATAGTTCAGGCTTTTAACTTTCAGGCATACTCTTGAGGAGGAAAAATTCTCCCATATACATATTTTTGAAAATGATAGCACATCTAATACTGCGTGCAGCAGACAGACCAGATGGGGATGCCACTACCTGCACTTACTCTGAAGAAACAGTTGTTTGCCAGCTCTGCACAAGCACTCGTGTGAGTAAACGCACACCCGTCTTGCGTAACAGTAGTGTGACCGTCACCGGCCATGGTAGGACACCCATCTAACTGTCATCTTCGTTAGAGCTGAGCCCTCCCAGTAATTATGTTTGCTTTGGCACGGCTTTCTGGCTCCAATTTGTCAAGTTGCAGTGAAACCCTCCCTTTGCATTTCCTGCTCGGGGAGAGGAACCTTGTTGCATATTGTGTTCAGCCCTGGAAATTCGTCTTTGTTGTGCTTATGAAGTTGAGCTTGACCTGTCTCCTGAAAGGGCAGGGGGAGTTTTGCAAACAAGCCCCCAGGCTTGTCCACGTAGAAACAGCAACAAGAAAATGCCCTAAACCATAAACTAGAGGATTAAAATGACGGTAAATAAAAATAAAAGTTCATTTCTCTTTCTCTCTCTCTCTTTTTTTTTTTTTTTTAAGAGGAAGGATGGCAGAATAATAGTCGTGTTACCATTGATGATAACTTGCTGATAGAAAAATGAGAACAAGTTTACAGTAGCTTTGACATTAGTTACCTTTATTCAGCATGCTCCAGCTGCACTGAGCCCTCAGGAAGCCTTCACCATGCACACAGTTTGTTCTTGGGTGTGAAAGCAAACAGTATTTGAGTTGGCAGTAACTTCCCTTTTAGAGAAGTTTGCTGCCTCGGCAAGAAACCGCAGCATGAGCTTTCTGCTGTTGAATGTTTCCACTGGCAGGATGGCCTTTTTCCACATTTCCTTGGTTTAAGGAAACAGATTTTGAACTCTTTCTTTTTTTTTTTTTAAGACAAAATGCCAACATTTAACAGCTGGAGTTAGCATATAATTTATGGTTTTCACTTTTATGCTCTTTCGGATATGTAAAAATTAAAAATCTGCAATTATTCTGAAGTTATGTGAGTTATTGCAAAAGAGTGATTAAAAAGTCGAACCTCTGTTATGAGGATGTCAAGAAAGTCATTGTTATCTAAACAGTTATTCTTAATTACTCTCTTTAATGACTTTTAATTTTTATAATTTACTTGTTATTACACCCACCATATAAGTGATATTTAAGGAAGTCCTTTGTTTCCCCCCTTTGATTAACAAGGAGGAGTTTGTTCAGTTCAAGCACTTTTTTTATATATATTTTTTTTTTTGTATATATAAAAAAAATTATTCTTTCGTGTGAGCTTGTTAATCCTTCCTCTTCTGTGCGAGTCTTCCCACTGCAGCAGCTCCTCTCGGAATATCGACACAGGTACAGCAGACAGAGGCTTCAAAGCTGCACCTTGCCAAGTTCCTACTCGCTAGCAAGAAGGGCTCTTAAACCTGGCAATAAAGACATCCAGATGCTGAACGGACCCGGATTCACCTCCGTTTGCTCCCTTTTGGGATGGCCTCTTTTCTTCTGAGCTGAAATTCAATGTACATTGCTCAAACGTTAAAATGCCTCGTATTGGCTACAAATTTCAGATCCCAACCTCAGCAGCTAGAATTAGAAACAGATCAGATGCAGGAAATTAATGCAGTCAGCCAATAAATTATGGAGCAACAGTCGCCATAAGTACTGTGGTATTTGTGTTCGGTCAGTTCAGGGATACTCGTTGTGTTTTGCTGAACATCACTCAGCTAACATCTGTATAAACACCGAGCACACAGCACAGATCTTTAAAAAGCAAATCAGCCCCAAGGAGGCTTCGCTGAAGGAGTTACCCTGGTTTCACAAGCTAGAAAAGAGGGGAGGGGCGGGAAGGAGAGGGGAAATGAGAAAGTAAATATATTATGTACAATGCTGTTCATATTAAAATCACTTAATTTGTATTTTAGATTTAGGGGCAAAAATATGTTGTAATGATGAACAGCAGCGTTTGAGAAATGTGTATTTTTTATTTTCAGAGACAGTAGCTGTTTGTCATTTTTATCTGTGCGACTTGTAGACTTGATTGGATTTATTATGTATGCTGCATGTTTATGGCATTTTTATTGTATGCTGTTAATTTGTTGTAACTGCTGCCACTTTCTTGCCAAGGACCCCTTGAAAGCAAGTATGTGTCAACAGTTACCTTCCAGTTTAATAAACTTAATGCTACTTCTCTTAAGCTTGGTAGAGGCCAGGGTTGTGCTGTGTTCATGGTGAGCTTTTTAACTCCGTTGTAGCTGAAGAAAGTTGATGCAGCTCGGGCACAGACCCGCAGCATGTGTGTTTGGAGCTAAAACATAAAGATACTAAGGCAGTGGTAGCCTGCAGTTAGAGCCACTGTAGCCTATGGCAAAGCGAGAAAAAGGAAAAAATCTCAAGCTTGTTTTAAGTAAGCAGGTCAATCGGCTTTTAAAATCAAATATAAAATGACTTTTAAAGATGATGCTAGTGGTGAAAAAATAGGATTATACCTTTTTATATTTTTGAAACCCAGAAACATTGATAAATTATCCAAACAGGATTAGAGTGTAGTTATTGGTAATAAAACTGAACATATTTATATAATGAGGATTAAGCAAGATGAGACTTCATTTTCCGGGAAAGATGCAAAGACAAAAATTAATCCCGCAAAAACATAACGTGATGTGGATATATATTTGATACAACTAGAGGTAGAATTAAAACAGTGGATTATAGGTGCTTTGTGGTAAAATAATGGGTAAAGTTGATAGATTTCATTTTCATTCTGTTTAATTTATTTGAGTTCATTATTGCCTGCCGATGAATCTCACCGATGATGCCTATTCCATGAGGTCAGCTGCGTTATTAACTTTCTCAGTAACGAGGCAGAAGCATGCTCTGGAGAATGAGCAAGGAGGGTTCTTCAAATGAATGGAAACTGCGATACCCTTTGTTGTTGTGACCATGGCCGTGTGGTTCTCAAGCCTGTGATACAGAGCAATGGGTGACGTGTACCCCTCAAGAAGGGGTGCTCTCGGTGAGGCAGGAGGTACTTCTTGCCGTGAGCATGCTTGCTGTTGAGCGTTGTGATTTGATGGGACCAGGTTTGTAAGATGGCTGAATTTTAACGCCCGTAGAAGATATCATAAACCAGAATAAGTCACGCTGGAAGACAGTGCAGTCTTAGTGTGTATGGCTGCAATGTCTCTTCAAACCTGCAGATAGTATCTTGTCCCGCAAGAGCCCTGCATTGAAATCCTCCTCTCCTGGAAAGGTCATGCAGGTTTTCCTTTTGGCGTTGCTGAAACCTGTCTCTTTTCACTCTTCGTGTCTGAAGACTGGTTTGCTCAACAGTGCCACACAAAGCAAACTGAGATTTTGTTCAACTCGTTTCATTTGTGGTACGAACTGGGTTTCATTAGCTCTGCCCGTGTTTTGTCTCAGCGTTATTGTATTCACCTCCCGTTCCACCTTGCCCATCACCGTGTGCATATTTCATATTGTAATGGTTGCCCATATGCGTACTTGGAAATAGCACCTGCTTTTTTCGAGAGTCACAGCACTACCGAGGGAGATACCTGATTTGTAATCCTGGTTATATTAAAAGCTGATGTAATGCTGATAGGCCATATAATGTGGATTCAGAAAGAGGAAAAACCCCTCACTGAGTGTTTTTGATAGGCATTAAAAATAGCCCATATTGCTAATATGTGCATTTGCACTGGCATGCACATGTACATGCAGACATGCCCTCTGCCATACTTTGACTAAATTTTCTGCACTTATATATGAGGAGGGGAATTTCATCTGTGACAATGTAGAAAACTGACTTTTTTTTTTTCTCCTTTCTTGTTTTTTTTTTTCTCCATTTCCTTTAGCGATGGTTGTAGTTCTGATATTTTTTTTTTTCTCCTTTCTTGCTTTTTTTTGTCCATTTCCTTTAGCAATGGTTGTAGTTCTGATAATTATAGGCACTCTTCTTGGGCACTGTTTAATAAAAGATGTGTTCTGCATTTGTAGTATGGGCAGAGATACTTTGGTGTGCTTTGATGAATCAGCGTGCAAATAGAAACACAATTTGTTGACTGAACGGATTACAAGACATAGTTTATCTGAAGAGGGGATGTTCCCGGTGGGTTGAGAGGACCTGAATCTGCTCAGCTTTGGAACACCAGGCTGGAATGTCTCTCTGGTAGGTACAGAAAAGTTAGGGC